AAAATAACTAGCTCAGTGATGTATCTGTCAGAGCATGAGAGAGGCAAAAGTGAAGGGGCATCACAGAAAAAGTGGTCAATCACATTGGACCTACAAAAAGAGAGCCTGAAAGTGTTCCCAGTGTGGATGGAAGCATCCAAGAAAGCAATGATATAGGAGCCTGTGCTCAGAGCAGCACACACATTTGTTGTCATCGTGGTGGTGTAATGGAGCGGTTTACACACAGCTGCATAGCGATCATAAGCCATTACGACCAAGAGGTTACTTTCTGCAATGGCAAAAGCTGCAAAAAAGAAGAATTGAGCGGCACAATGATTATAGGAGATGATGTTGTCTCCTGTGAGAAGCCCTGCCATGACCTTGGGTGTGACAGCTGAGGAGTAACCAAAGTCAGCCAGAGAGAGGTTGCTGAGGAAAAAGTACATGGGAGTGTGGAGACGAGAGTCCAGCAGGATCAACAGGACCATCCCTAGGTTGCCAACCAGACTTATTAGGTAGATGAGGAAAAAAATTAGGAAGAGCAGAATCTGTACTGTGGGGTTATTGGTTAATCCCACAAGAATGAACTCAGTCACCTCTGAATTGTTCTCCATTGGAAACATTGGGGAATCTTCTGGCTGTCCTGTAGAAATGAGAAACAGGATCAGAGTGACAGAGGATAGAAAACTGCTGTTATCAATGAGATGTCTGCCTCTAAGTTTAGCATTTCCTTCATTGCTTCAAGGATTCTTTAGATATAACACATTCCCTTAAAAATTTTCGACTTTTAATAATTTCTAGAGTGATATTGTGCTCCAATTATGGAATTTCTGAACATAAAATGTAGAGAAAGAAAATGTGTTATTCAAGATTGCATGATTAGCTACTAACCAGAATGAGACAGGATCCCCATTCAGATTTTCTAACATTGACCCAAAATATTTTAATTCATTAAATAGATTAGCTCAATTGGTCTGGTGTGAAATTCAATTTCTTTTACTTCAACTCACAATTTTCTGTCATTTGCATTTTGTCAAGAACAATTTTATATGAGAATGTAAGGCATTCAAATAAATGATTATTGTTTTTATTATTTTCCTTTTTAATCTTTTTATTGGAGCCTCTTACTGCTTTTAGAACAATCCATACATCAAGCGTATCAAGCACATTTGTACATATGTTGGCATCAT